AGGGTTTAGGGTTTAGGGATTTCACGTCCTGAGGCTGAGGGCTCTCACTTCAGGGCTTTTAGGATTGGAGGGCTGTAGGGTTGACGGCTGCAGGTTCTAGGGTATGCCCAAACCTGTCATAGCCTGTTTGTATGCCAGAGCCCCTATAACCCCTACGGGGCTCAGAATGACATCCTGCAATGCAGAAGGCTCGTGTTTGCAGGAAGCTCTAGAGGAGTTTAGGGTTTAGGGGTTTAGGGTTGAAAGGTGCAGAGTTTAGGGTCTAGGGTTTAGGGGTTTAGGATTTAAACGTTCAGGCTTTCTTGGGGTCCAGGGGCTTAGGATGGCTTCAGTATCATGTGAAGACCGCCTTTGCATGTCCGATCGCCCAAAAACCGGACATATCAAATCCTCCAAAGTGCTAAAGCCCTGTATCCCGAAACTCCAAATCCTGTATCCCATTAAAGCCCGAAATCTTAACCTTCCAAAAGTGTATATAAACCCCATCTACTCCAAACCATTAGGCTTAAACCGAAAACGCCAGTGCGTAATTAACCCCGACATGCCTTCCATTGAACCCTGCACTCTCAGAGCAGCCCCGGCGCCAGGACAGCATTCAAGTTCTCAGGAAGCTCCACCTCCAGAAACGTCGTTTTTTTAAAGGCTTGGCACTTAGTGGCTCGGGAATTCTTTCTTTTGAAGCATTGAGTTTTTGTTTTATGTTCAGGGCTTTGGGCCTTGGGGTCGGGCTTTGTGGGTTTAGGGTTTGGGGTTTCAAGGTTGAGGGCTCTGGCATGTGGGTAGTTGTCAAAATGATGGTCCCTTTTGGGGTACCCTAAATACTAGGTGCCGTAGTATAATAAGGACCCAAAAAGGGACCATAATTTTGACAACCACCCATGTGGTGTTTAGAGTCTGAGGTTTAGGACTGTCGGGATTTAGGGTTGCCGGCTCTTGGTCTGAGGGTTCTATGCTTTCAAGCTTGAGTGCTGTAGGGTAGTGGGCTGAGTGAGGACGGGGACCAGGGGTCTTTCTTTGAGTGTTTGGGGCTTGATGGTTTCGGGGATCGGGCTTCGGGGTTCAAGATATCTGTGAGGGAATGAAGCGAGCAGCTTTGGTGGCCCTTGGAAGAACAACCCTAAACCCTAAACCCTAACTGATGGGGCTATACTGCGACCCGGAGGCCTAAAACTTGCTGACTCTTGGGATGCTCGGGAACAGCTCAGCTTATTGAAAGCGACGAAATCCGAAACGCGTCGGAACACTACCACAAAACCCGTGAGATATGGCGGCATTAAACAATGCACCCCCAAACCCTGTTCCACTCGTTAAACGTCCTCTATACACCCACCTCTCAAGCCGGCGAAAACGAGCCCTAATGTAGGGGCCTTTCATAAGTAGAATAGGGTTTTCGGGGTTCCTCAATATAGTCATAGTAGCATATACCCCAAAACCCTATTCTAATTTTTAGAGGGTGGGACGCCCTCGGGCCCCCTATTTACAGCCCCAAAGCGTCACTTTCTGAGTTTTTTAACACTCCTATACTATTCTAATCGAAAAGCCACGGCACCTGGGCCGTTGAGCCCTGGCGCGCCGCGAGGCAGCGTGCGCTGAGGAGCCCCAGAACCTGGCCAAAGGGGCTGGGCAGCTTCATATATAGGGTTTTTGTTTGGTGTAGGGTTCTTTTAGGGTTTAGGGTTCAGGGTTTAGGGTTGGGTTTAGGGTTTAGGGTTTGGGGCTTGGGTTTGAGGGCCTGGGGTTTATATGTAGGCCTTGGGGTATGGGATTTCGGGCTTATTGGGGTTAGGGTTGTCCGGATTATAAGAAACTCTACAACCAAGGCAGCCCTGAGTATCAAGAGCCTGCTTAAGTCCCAAAGTGGAGCCTTCTGCGCCGAGGGAGGCATGCTGGCGGCCTTCGTCTTGAGGTGGGGAAGGATGACCTGCAAAAACGCTCGGATGTGTCAGAGCTTGAGATTTTTGACGCTGTATCACAGGCTCGATATTGGTGGCTTCTTGTGAGCAATGTATAGGTCTCTCACTCTTACTCTCTCTCTCTTTCTCTTTTTCTCTCGCTCTCTCTCTCTCTCGCTCTCTCTCTCTCTCTCTCTCTCTCTCTCTCTATCTATCTATCTTTGTACGTATGTAACCGTATGTACATACGTATATGTACACACACACAAACTACAGAAGTGCATGCATACCTACAGACTTCTGTGTGTGAACATGTAACTGCAAGGTCTCACGGGCGTCTATAGATATGCAGGTAGGCAGGCATGCAGGCACGCATGTGTGTCTGTAAGGGGGAAAGTATGCATGCATGCATGTGTAGAAATATATACATACATACAATCGGAATAGAGAACCATGTCTTACAACACAGTTGACTGCAGGAAATATGATTTTTGAAAAAAGGGTTGGGGCATCAAATTCCCAAGCTCAAAACCACAGGTCCTAGCCCAAAAAACTTTCTTCATCATCAGCCCAAATCCCAAGCCCAACAACCTAACTGATCGCCGATTCCCTCAACACGAAGCCCTACACCATGCAGCCCAAGAAGCAGAGAGGAGGTCGCCTTCTTCCAGAGATCGGAAGAACCTCTGAGCAGAGTTGTAGGCGTTTGGACCGTTTCTTCAACTCGACACGAGCTGTCTGTGTGTGTGTGTGTGTGTGTGTGTGTGTTTGTGCCTTTTTGTGCATACCGTTTCTTTGAAGGATGCTTGGTTGTCACCTCTAGTTTTCCATGTTTGGATTGGTTCATCGTCGGTAACACAGCATCCCGGCTTCATTCTCGAAAGCAAGTATAGCCTCAACGATGTGTGTAATTCTGTTCCCGGATAGGCCCGTTCTTCCTCGACCCGTGAAAATTAGTCGTTTTGCTGTTTGGTTTGTGGTTCAGTATCTCCGCGGGCCACTGTGACTGTGTGAGATACCAGATAAAAACCATGACCCCTTACTGCCAAAAACCCTAAGGCTCCAAATACCTAATAATCATATACTCTCCCAAATAGTAACCTACATAACTACTATCCGAAACCTAAGTATACCTGATTCTTGGGTCCTTTGGACCCTTGGGGAAACCGCTTCGAGCAGGTAGCTCGCGCTGACGTTTGTCGAAGGTGGCGCGGCGTTGCGGATGCCTCCGGAGGCTTCTGCTTGGGGCTTGGACCTTGGATCCTGCGCTCCTTTTAAAGGCTCCTGTGAATTGAAATTTGAAGGCTCCTATAAGGTCTACTGTAAGGGTTCTGCGAGGGGCTTTTGGTCCTGAACCCGACGGCCACAAAACTCATAAGGGCGCCACGAAAATGCCTAGAACCCTAAACTTTAAACTCTCAAGGACAGCAAGACCCTCTAAACCTTGAAGCTTGAACCCCCAAGTCTTCAAAATTCTATAGGCTCGATACCGGCCTCAGGTGGCAGTAGTTGCAGTCCGAGCCGTTGGGGCAAGCGGCCTTGTGAGTGGCCACATAGACCTGGCTTAGGGTTTAGGGTTTAGGGTTTAGGGTTGAGGCCCTTTCTATTCACTACGCCTGGGTTGACTTGAGGAACTCCAAATTCGGAGGAGCCCTAAGCCCTAAACCCTGGTTTTGGGGCTCTTCGGCTTTGGGGCATGGGGTTCCGTCAACATGTAGGAATTCACTGACATACTCTTACGTCTTACATCGACGGAGGAGGCAGGAGGGATAAAGAACATTGCAAGCTTCACTTCATATCCCAGACACATGCGCCCATCATCCGTGTATGCCCGAGAGCAGTCATCCCAAACCGTGAACCTACCTAAACCCGGAACGCAACAAAAACCCCTGTAACCCACAAGGCACTGGTAAATGCACCAATACACCATAAGAGAAAGTACCCCGATTTGGGGTGTATCCTACGATAACTGCACAGAAGTTATAGGGGTTACGCTGCTACCCGAAAAGCCCTGAAGCAACCATTCTAAACCTCAATCTCTAAACCCTGAAACTCAAAAAAGCCGAAACCTCAAACCCAACAAAGAAACCCTATGGAATGTACTATGGGATACTATATTATACTTTTCATAGGTTATATATGTACTATAGTATACTACATTTTACTGTTCATAGACTGTAATCCCTAAACCCTAAACCCCTAAACCCTAAACCCTAAACCCTAAACCCTAAACCTTAAACCCTAAACCCTAAAACTCAACCCGAAACCTCAAACCCTAAAACTAAACCCGAGACCTCAAGCCCAAAAAGCCCTCGAAAGGTCGGATCCCAGGGGCGCAGGGCCGACGGCACATCCAGGGATGACCCAGGCTGCCCAGGGAAGCCTCTGTGGGTCTTCGGAGCTTAGGGATTTAGGATTAGGGTTTAGGATTTAGGATTAGGGTTTAGGGATTAGGGAGTAGGGTTTAGGGTTTAGGGATTTAGGGTTTAGGGTTTAGGGTTTAGGGTTTAGGGACTTAGGGTTTAGGGATTTAGGGTTTAGGGGTTAGGGGTTTAGGGGTTTAGGGCTTTAAGGCTTGCTTAGGGTTTAGGGTCTAAGGTCTAGGGGTTTGGGGTTAGGGTTTAGGGTTGAGGCTTTAAGGCTTGAG